ACTGGTTTGTGCCAAATCAACGTAGGCATAACACAATCGCACCTTCATCGCTTGCGTATACTTAAATCCTGCGAAAATGATGCATTTCAGTTGCTTTCGGTCGTACTGAAGAAGACTACTTAAATACTGGATTGCGGGTCTTGGTCGGCTATTGAGAGTACATAACTTCGAACTTGACAGGCACAAAGGCATGTCGTTGTAAGTTTAACTTGTTTGAAAAGTGGAGCAGTTCCGAATCCGCACCAGCAGAAGTCATAGATTACCCTTCTGGAATCAATCCATTAGCTATTTTTCAAACTTCTGCGTTGAGCGCAAATAACTTCAGAATTTTTTCAGGATTCAAACGACGCTATCAGTGGTTTGTGGCAGTAGGCCCCTACGGCAAAGTGATACAGTTCGGTCTTTTGTCGCTGGAGCCTTGTCTGACGGTGTCAGTCACTGAAATAACGAATAGATTTCACGTTCAAAGTACAGAAACGATTATGATAAAGTTAGTGCGGAACGTAACACAGTGTTCTTGCCGCGTGTGCAATTGAAGGAAGTCTATTTCTTAATAAATACTTGATAGGCGACCTCTGTATCCGGAAACGAGGGGAACAACGACTTGGTAGAGTCTACGTTGTCGCCATTATGAAGGGAGATGACTACAATAGCTCAATGAAGGGATATCTGAGATACGGTTCAGAACACGCCCATCTGTGCACTTCTAAATCTATGCGCAGGACGAGTCTCTCACACATTTAATTCAATTTCATTTCACACCTATGTCTGTCCGAGTACGCCGAGGAAATTTTTCCTTCTGCTAAGTAAACGAGCCGACGGTAGAATCGCTGAAATGGGGCTTTTCGCCCGCCGTTTAATATGACTTCTTTGCTACTTGAACTCGATATTATGCAGAGTTGCTCGCAGACAAGAAATTGACGGAATGGTGGCATTTCACGCTAATCATGCTCACCTTGATAAATCTACCCCAAACTAGAATATACCAGACAATAAGTTTTCCGCATCGACGACAATTGGGGTGGGGTTCTCGCCCTACCATGAATCTAGTGTGAATAGTATGATCAACAAATGAAGCTACGGAATCTCTAAGTCGTGACGAAACCGGTATGAGAGAAGTACACCAAAACTGTATTTCGGATTTCGTGGTCACAAGCTATCGATAACTGGTTCACCCCAGCATTCGGCTTCTGTCGATAAGCACGGGGATCCAAGCATTTGAAAGCTAAAAAACTTGGTTTGAAGTGGGAAGAACTGGAGGTCAACCAAATCGCGTTTTGCAGAAAACGTGGGGCCACAAAAATATTTTTTGCGCTGACTGGAGTGAAGACAGACATTACAAGCGGGAAAGTCACTCACCTATGCCGTCGCCAAGACAGATCTTCGATATTTACCCACAAAAGCCAGCTGTATTCCTACATTTATGAATAGAAGGAGGAAGCACCAAAAACTGCCTTGAGTGGTTTAGTGATCTGTGTTTATTGGCAGATCTTCGAGTTCAACATTAGGGATAGACGTAAGACAAGGAAGTGAATAGTTTTTCCTGAAAGCCAATTTGTCAGCGCCTCCGTAAGGAACAGAGGGGCTCCCATAGAAGGTCCCTTTCATGGGAGCCCAACCCAGGTTCCCAGTTTTCATTCTGCAGCAAAGATCTAGTTGGTCCTCGGCACAGATGTTTGAGTTGTGGAGGACATATGTGTTCCCGATCCAGTGACGTCGCAGGTGTAAGGCAATGCACTTCCAATCGGGCGTCCAACACCGTCACCACCGGAACATTATTTCCCCCGATGTGGCCGCACAATCTCTGGATGCAGGCGGGGGGAGGGGTTAGCCGTTCCTTTTAACTGATCATACAGGTGGCTGGCGGTTCGATGAAGGAACCTTTATTTCTTCTCACTGCTTACATTATATAAAACACTTATCCTCGAATGTGCTGCAACCTCGGTCAGCCGCATGTAGGGCGACACGGGGGGCGGATCGTGCGTGACAGAATGGTGCAACTGTTAAGCGCAGCACAGCCAGTCTGAAAGATGAAAACGAGCCGCATAGTTGTTTACTGTTGACAATACTACAGAGACACAGTGCCGCACTGATCGGTAGTTTTTGCATTCAGACTCTTCGTCCCATAGTTTTCTACAGGCCTCTGAAGATGAACTGGAGGACATACTCGCCAGGTCAAAAAAATAAAAGACTCTTCCACACGATTTCATGGAATGCTATCTTCCCATCGGCTCAAGAGACAGCTGTCATTTAGGGTGAAGGACATTCAGAGATGGGGGACGCGATAGAACACTTTTATTCCTCATCTTTATATTGTCTGCGCTCCTCCTTACACTGCCCTGGTCTAGTTATGTCAACTGCTGGCTGTTCCAGGCACTGACTCTCTCTTTCCACCAACTGGCATAAAGCCAATGGGACGTGCTCAGGCGAATCGATTTCCGGAACGTTTCGTCGGTAACGAAAGAAACCATTTACGTCTCCCAAGGAATCTGGTGATGACCTTATTTGTCAGCTAGAGAAGGCCGCCGGAAGAGTAAACGACGAAATAAAGTGTGAAAAAGAATTTTTAAAATAAAGAAATTTACTTTATTACGGCTTACAAACGCATCATGCATCTGAGCAGGTTCACAGACATCAGGTTGACATCTTTCCTTTTCCCAACTTTTATCTGCTTTGTCAACTCGACATCCCCGGCGCAAGAGTACATACTTGTATTATGGATATAAGTCCTCTTTCAGATAGTTTTAAAGCAGCGTGCCCCCTCAAAGAAGAAAATTATGGTTAAATAAAGGGATTAATGTACCCCATAATAGTCAGGGAATATAAAGGGATAAGATGGGAACTGTATTTCAACGAAATCTGGAAATAAACACTGCAGTTCACGTGGGTTGGACACTCACCCTCTATATTCCAAATTTCAGGACAGAATACAGGCGCTCTATAACTTTTGTCGCCATCAGGCTTTTTAAGACGACTCCAGGTCGAGTAGTATTGGCAAGAAATTCCCATATTCTCCCCCTCCAAGTGACCTAGGCCAGTGACGTCAATTCAATGTAACCTTGACATTTTCCAGATGCAGCTATCAGACAGTGGCCTAGTGGTTCGAATGGCAACATTCTTAATTAAATGATTAGCTGCACGCGGTTTTAACCTCACACCTTCGTATTCCAGAGTTGAAATATGGCTGGCCAACGACGACGGATGACTCGATAATAGCCGTTTTTATACCAGCCCACTTTCTAAAGAAGCTTCTCTGTCAATCATAAATACTGAAAGCATTTCAATGAGCATCAAAATCCCCCTTGTAGGCATACTTTCAGGAGACCGAGCTCAGGAAGAGGATCCTGTTAGATCTATTTTCTGAGTACTGCCCATAGCGACCCTGTCCCCAAAACCTCAGTCTCTGCTCGATAATCCTCGGTCTTTTAGTCCGCGTCCATTTCATGTGAGCATCTGCATGCAGCTACACTAAGTGCTTTTCATTTACATACCTACAAATAACGTCTTTTCAGACGCGAGCACCTCTGGGCCTTTATTTTAGGAAAGCAAACAAAAGTGTGAGTGTTTACGAAAAAAAACTCGCCGCTTTACTTGGCAAGACACGGAGATGGGAACCACCCTCTGCAATATAGGTGACATTACGCTAAATTCTGGGGGAGGAGTACCTAGTCCCGTGTCCCAACTCTAACCCTGAACTTAACCCCGAACTCAACCTCGACCCTAACCCTAATCTCTCTGAAACTTGGCTCAAGGCTGCCTGTATTATTGGGGAGGGGGTTTCTATTTCTGTATCCTGCCCTTTACTTTTTAAAATGCATTGAAAACTCCTGCACGCTCCAAGTCCCTCCTTGGTCATAATTCCAGCGTAGAAAATGCGGTAAGACAGGGGATAGGGAGTCACTATATTTCCGGGGTTTTTGCGCTGATTCCCAGGGAGACTACGATTGGTGTCAAGGCTAAGGTTGGGGCTAGGGTTGAGGTCAGGTTGAGGGTAGGCTTAGTGTTAGGATTAAGCTTAGGATTAATTAGCACTATGGCTCGGAAGCGGAATACCCGCCCCTTTGAAATTTTTGCCAAGGTCATCTGTATTACCGGGGTGGGGGTTCTTGTTCCTTTGTTTTAACCAGGGTGCAAATTTTCTTATTGAGACCGGGTGACCATCTCTAATGATCAGCGTGCTGAACTCCGAGGTATGTCTAACCTGAACTTCAAGGACGGTAGTGATTGGCAATCTACATATGGTTGTATTTTTGTTATTCCACAAGACAGCTCTCCCAACACAGGAGCACAAATTACTCTAGCACTGAAAAGGTAGTTTGTTTTATGAACCTGCAAAGCGGACCTCATTCCCTTTCTGATCGGCACGCAGGCTAGCCCGTTGGAGAAGCAAAGACTCACTTCGATAGAAATTAGCAAAGTGGTTGAATTTCAGATTAAACTCGAGGGAATTTTGATCCCATTAATCGTCATGTTTACCTCCATGCTCTAACGAATGTGAAATTTTCCAAAACTGTTTTGCTGAAGGGCTTAAAAATGTTCAATTGAAAAATTTATTGTAGCTCATTCTCTCATTCCTCGTAATGCGAAGATCTATTGCAGGCGCAATCCAAAGTACGCGTTTGCAAACGCTGATGCAAAGACATGACAATTTTCCGCGTCGCTGAGCAATTTTTACAGTCCCTTCCAGCGTCCACGATTGACACGTGAATCAACATTTTTCACAACGGAGGTAGAAATTCGGAACGAACCCAAAGCACTGTGTTACCTTCGTTTTCCATCCGATAGAAATATAGCAGTGATATTCTACCAACTGTTGAGAGGACTGACAGGCTTCCATCTTCCAGATTCACTAGCCTCAACCGTAGCCTGAACAGCGTTCGTTCCAAAGTGCAGATGGGCAAGTGTTTTCTGCAAGTTGGTCGGATCTGAACTCACTGACAGGACTATCAAACACCTGCTTAATCCAGTCAGCATTGGCTGCATCAACTGAGTTAGTGGGCATTCTTTGAAATTGGCTCTCTTTCGCCAGCGCAAGGCGACAAATAGAGAATTCAACTTCCCCACAGCTTGACCACAAGCACGCTCAATGCCTTCCGAGTCCGTGAAAGGTTGCGTTGATTCCGGCTGCTGACAGCTAGATAAGTCGGCAAGATATAACCACGAGGTCACTGATCGTTCTGGATCACCCATATGCTGGGAATGGATACGTAGGATGAGGAATAGATGGCCAGGCGGACATCTGGTGGATCTCACCTTTTCATTTAGCCAGATGAGCATGGAATCGAATTCGGAAGGGGATGCGATCTGCAAGCAAAACGTACCTGCCTGGATGAATTCGCTATCATCGGGACTGATATTTAGCGGAGTTCTTTGCGAATGGTCGGCCAGAAGGTTGTATACCTCAGTGGCACCACAGATCAAGGCAAACGCATTGTAGGTGTAATTCCAACGACTCTTTCTTCTAGACGCCTCAAAAACTTGACTGACACACAAATGTGCCAAACCCGGCTCTCCCCCCTTCTCCGTCGCCCCGTAGAGCATGCGTGAGTTCTCCCTCTCATCTGGTCCACATACGAGCACACTCACGGGCTGCCCGTGGAGAGACATGCTGACCAGTAGCTCTATGTTTTTAAATACATCGCAGTTTCCACTACCAGGCCCGCAAACTGCGTCAAAGATGAAGCACTGTATTACGGTTGCAGCTTCGGACTGCTGTGAAGTAAGCTGCATTTGGGCTGGCGGGCTGGGTACATGAACAAGCAACTTGTCGTTGCCCATCTGCTCTAGACATGAGGGCATGTGACCGTCTATCTTGCAACAGACGGAGATTGTTCCAGTCAAAACCTGAAGACGTTTCAGTGTTGTTCTTCGTTGTGTCTCCTCCTCCTTAAGAACGCTCTCTAACTCTTTAATTTTCTCGTCGATGCGGGCACTCTCCTTCTCCAGAATGTCAATTTCAGCTGTAATTTCTTCCTCTGTCTGCTCGGCAGTATCATTTCCCCTAGAGGCCTTGGGTTCCACTCCGCCCGACCGGAGCGTCGACGCGGTTCTGTCGCCATCGGTGATCAATCGACTTTTTAGTTTTTCCAACTGTTTCAGGTACTTCTCCATGAGAAAGACTTCATCCTCCAGACGGCTACACTGATTCTTATGATAATTTCGACGTCTCTTCTCCCGTCGGAGCATGTGAATCAAATGTGGCCTGGAGTCTGTCTGTTGTTTCAACCTCTGTTCACAAAGCAGATGATTTGCCAGGAGATCCACAAGAAAGATGCTAGAGAGGGGCACAACGAAATCGTTGGCTGCATAATCGCTGTATTTGATATCACTGCTAGACAATTCATCACAACTCAAGTCTTCTACAGCCCTGCCTGAGTGGGCTGAGACTTTGAGATTAACTGAAGAAGGGAGGAGAAGACTTTTCACTTCGTCCAGAATCCAGTCCAATTTCTCCTTTTTCTCCGGATCTGCCCCCACCTCTTCCTGGAGGAACTTCTGGGCAGCCATTAATTTTCCTAAAATATCACTGCTTTCCAGGAGATTGTAATAACGACTCTTCCATCGTTTAGCCATGAAGGCCTGTCGTCCTTCAATGCTGGCCTCCCTAATCGCCTGTTTTTCGTGTGCATCTTTCTTGCTGGCCACCTTAAAGGCAAACTCGTCTAAAAGTTCTTCGATCTGCTTTGGTGTTTCGTTAACCTGTTGGTTTTTCTGAACCGACCTTAGAAGGGCTGCATTTCCGCCCTCAAGAAATCGATAGCATTCCAACAAGCGAGCATGAAAATACTTGTATTTGGGCATTTGATCAGCTTTTAGTGTTTCTTGAACCTGGTCCAGTAGTAACTTATCTCCTTCATCTCCAAGGAATGAGGGTGTCACTCGACTGGTCATTTTGGTATGACAGGAATCATCCATTGCGTATAGGACGAAGCCTTGTTTTAGTCTGCATGTGGCTTACTCGCGTTCATGATCGATTTACTTTTTAAAACCACTCCTCTTCCTCTGGAAGTACGCGCATGAGTTTCAGTACCGTCATATATTCCAAACAGTCAAACTGCATGCGTGGGAATACATTTCACAGTTACTGTCTACTGTTGTGTGCAAGTTTACGTCAGAAAACCTCCGACTAGGTTTGGAACTTCAGCGGTGCTTTGGATCACATCATTCGTAGAAGTCTAACAAACCCTCACGCTTAACCACAGTTTGTAACCCCCCATACCACAACCTTTGAGGTGCCTGCTTAAGTCTAATGCACGCCAGATTGATTGTTATGAGATGACATGCAAGACCGACTACACTCTGTATTCCCTCTTTTTGATATGAGAAAGGAGTGAGACTGAGTCAAACCGAATCTGGACGAGACGTAGCTCAGTGACTGGCAAAGCACAAAGTTCCCAACTATCGCATGCCACAGACGTGTTTGGCCACACCTTGTCGTAAAAGTGTCGTCGGCTTTTGGGCTCAGAACAAAGACTACCAGCTGGTCCCTAAAAACCACGAATTCATATGGGGTGATTTATATATATATGTACGTCAAGCGAATAATTCCAGAAATTATTCAGTTTAGGACGTGGTTTTAAGTCACCGGGACAGGACTTTTAAGGGTCAGACCCAAAATTTCGATGAACATTCGAGTCGAAGATAATCAACTACTGTGGAATAAATACGTAATGCCATTTTACAAACACGTAGTACTACAAGTAATGCGAAACCTATATGATAAAGGCCTTATACCGTACTCCCGTCATAGGTACACGTGCTCCGCCGATATTCTGCCGCTGCGTGACACAGCTGCGAGGGGCTCGTCTACTTAGTGGGTCCCCAAGCGTCCTCTATGCGAAGACTTAACCCCATGTCTTACACTGAATAATTTCAGAAATTATTCGCTTGATTATTCTCTGGAGTGTTGATAGAAGCGAACAGGCGAGTTCCAGGTAGCAGTTCAGAAAATGAAGATGCGATCACTGGAACAAGAACTTTATCGTCTTCTGAACTGCTACCTGGAACTCGCCTGTTCGCTTCTATCAGCAATCTTTTTGGGCGCGAAGCGCTCCGATCGGCTCGACGATGGGAAACCTTTGCCTTTCGAGAGTCGTATACCTATGCGCAGATTCGATTTCTGCACGGGTGTCTCGACAACAATGTGCTGCCGAAGTGTGTTTCATACAAACCTCCGGTCAACACAGAGCTGGCGAGACGCGCAGTATTTCGACACGGCCGACGAATGATCCAAGTGCCCTTTCAAGAGTGTCACTCACGGATTCGCAAATACCGTCAGACGATTGACCAAGAGAAAGCAAGATGCTGCGAGTTCCTGGGCGAGGACGGCATAAAACTGCTTCAGCAGAGGCTGGCCGAACAAACCCGCGAACATAAAGCAACGCGCGAAGCAGCCCTAGAGAACAAATTTCGTAAGCTGCCTGCTCCAATGTCATCCAAGAACGACAAACTGGTGCGCAACTTGTCGTCAAAGGAACTGACGGAGGAACAAATGCAGGTTTTACGTCATGAGGCCTCATTCAGCACAGCCGATTCCAAACCTGCCAACATGATTGCAAGAGTGGAATCAATGCTCAGCCAAACGGAAGCGACAGACGAAACGAAGAACATCACTCGAAATCAAGTGTGCTCTCTTCTCATGGCTCATAGGCCGCGTGACGTGCTTTCCAAGGCCGAGCGCTATGCACTTAAGGAACTCCAGGCTGACAACGACCTCCTTATCGTGCCTGCGAACAAGGGGCGTGCAATGGTCGTATTGTACAGGACAGACTACAATCAAAAAGCCAAAAGCTTGTTGGAGGATCGTCAGTCCTTTGTCCCATGCGAATCCAACCCCATAAAAACGCTGACACGCGAGATTAACGCGACGCTGTTGGCAATGGAAAACTCAGGTGCAATATCGTCAATCGACCGACGCATGGCACGAGCACAAGAAACGGCCCTAGCCCGATTCTACGGTCTCCCAAAAGCGCAAAAAGAGGGCGCTCCTCTCCGGCCTATCGTATCATTAAAGGGCACTCCAACATACGGACTGGCAAAGTGGCTGTTCCAACGTCTCAAGTTTCTGACCTCCGATTCGAACACCACATCAGCTCGTCAACGCAATTCTTGAAGAAACTTAAAGGAGTAAGTCCCCTGTCAAGCGATGTCATGGTTTCCTTTGATGTCACGTCCCTTTTTACTTCTATCCCACAGGACCTGCCAGTTGAGACCATCGAACTACTTCTTCGAGAGAAATACGACGAAACGGAGAATCGCCTCGGACACGCACAAATCATCCATCTCCTGAAGTTCTGTCTCAAGACGTACTTTACGTTCGATGGGACAATCTACGAGCAGGTGAAGGGAACGCCAATGGGTTCACCGATTTCGGGACTCATAGGCAAGGCGGTCCTACAACGGTTGGAGTCGCTGGTTTTCCGACACCAAAGACCGAAATTCTGGGCTCGGTGTGTGGATGACACCTTCGCCGTCATCGAACGGGATCAGGTGCTGACATTCAAAGAACATCTCAACGCCGTCTTCCTGGACATTCAATTTACGAAGGAGGAGGAGGAGGAGGGGGGGAGGAGGAGGAGGAGGAGGAGGAGGAGGAGGAACACAATCAGCTCGCCTTCCTAGATATCCTTATCTGCCGCAAAGATTGTGGTGGCCTAAAAACCAAAGTGTTTAGGAAAGCGACAAATAAGACGCAAATACTGAACTTTAATAGCAACCACCCGATCAGTCACAAACGCAGTTGCGTAAGGGCGCTATACCGGCGCGTTGAGACGCACTGCAGTGAAATGGAAGACAAGGTTGCTGAATTACAATATCTTCGACCGGTAATGAGAGACAATGGTTACCCGTGCAACTTTGTCAACCACTGCATACGAAAACGACACCAGAGACCAAATCCAACCGGCCCCAAATTTTGGCGAGCTCTTCCGTACGTGAAGAACGTCTCGAAAGCCGTTAGTCGTCTTCTCACTCCACTTTGAGTTGGGGTTGCACACAGGCCGGAAGCAACCATTAGGCTCCAAGTAATGAGGCCAAGAGACCCGCTGCCACGACAGGAAACGTCTGTGGAGAAATTGAGAGATTACTCCGTAAGCGAATTGCCGAGCACGCAGCAGCAGTGAGGCGGGGTGACGCTAGCTCTCAGGTGGCGACACACTCAACGGGACCCGGCCATATTTTCAAATTTCAAGAGACCGAAATCCTCGCAAGGGGTGTAACCGCGTGAGCCGCGAGCTGCTCGAGTCATGGTTCTCAGGCCCGTAATCCATCAACAAGTGCAATGACCTTCCCGTACCATATTCCGCGCTGAGATTTTCCCTGGGCAGGGGAATCAGTCACGTGGGAAGGGCGCGGGCGAGTAATTATCTCAGTGACAGTGAGCCATTTTGCCGAGCAATCGTCACACCAGCGTCCAGCACGGATGACGAAAACACAGCAATTAACGACTCGGACTCGGACTGACAAGCCAACACCGCATCGATTACGACCCCAGCGGTGATTGCGAGGGCTGTTAATTACAGTGAGCATACGGGCCGCACTTCTTGTGCCACCATCACCTGTATCTGCGAATGTCTCTGATGACGAATTCGAGTGAGAATCCGAAACATCAGGCCAATAAAGTTCTTGTTCCAGTGATCGAATCTTCGTCGTCTATTCTCTGGAGCTTCTATACCAGAAATCACATAGAGAACGCTGGGGAACCCACCGAGGAGCAGAACCCCCACACCAGTGACGACGTCCAGTACGCCGGAAATGGTAATTTCCGCGCCCTTGGCTTTGCCGGTAATGCTGTTCTGCCTATATGTATACCTACTCAGGAATGGACGCACTCCGATCCACTGAATTCCCGAACCAAATCAGCTTCATATCGATTATAGGGGTCAGGAACAGGCAACCGTCTACCAGGCCGAGGTCGACCAAGCTATGATAGCGGAGGGGGAGACGACAGAGTCCGGGAGGAAGAGTGATACAGAACTGTTTCGCTCACACATCTGGCGCAACTGATCCACCACTGGGGTCTATCGGATGGGTCATAAGCACTTCATCCAACCGAAATTCACCAGTGCCTTGCCGCCTGCTATTCTCTGTCGCTGCAGATCGGATATTTATCTACCCATGAATGAGCGCATCCCGACCCACTGGCATTTAAACCACCAACACTCGTTCTGCTGTTAACCCAAACATCACGACGAACATCACGACCAAACCTCACGAGTACAAAATAAGTTTCCGTACAACACGCCACTCTTACTACACTGTCTGATTTGTAAACAGCTTTGAAGATGCGGATGCGGACAGAGAGGAGAACAGGAAGCATATAAGTTTGCAGTATGACATATGTGGGAGAGCAAATAGGGACAAGGAAAGTGGAGGAGCAGAGCACAGAGAATCACCGAGCATGTATACAGCATTCACAATGGCAGCTTCAGAGCATTGACAACTTCCTCGGCGTCAAACTGGTTGAAGGTCCAGTCGGTCACATGGGCTGATTAGGCATTTGGCTGCGAATTCCCACGTGTCCCCGAACGAAATAAGAGGGACTTCGCTCGATCACAGGTCCGGTGGAGGACTGTCGTCTCGCATTAACTATGACCCTAGAACGTCGCTCACTCCGGGGTCCAACACGCGCGGCGGTTTGCCCATTGCAATCAATGATATCTACCCAAGTTTGTGGTTTGGTTGGGGGTGGGGCCTCGAATAACGATGTTTCAGTGGACGCCAGTGGGTGAGTGTGACGGTGGCAGTACATGAGAAGCCTTTGGCTGCGGCCAGCTGGCTTCTCTCATGTACTCTCTGTGTTCAACTTGTTGTGTTCGGCATATACCCCCATAACAAGCCACGTTGTAAAGGCCCTGGACCAACATGAGTGTCAGATCGGGGCTAGGCACGCGCTAACCAGACTGTACAGAGTCCGCGCATCACGCGACAAATGACACACACGGGGAGTGTGGTGTGACGCCCAGGCGGAGGCCTCATGCCTCGCCACCCACTGTGCCCGGTCCCATCATAGGATGGCTGATAGGTTTAGACAGTGGGCTGGTGCATGAGAGTGGGAAGAGGAAGCGGGATCGACTCTGGGGAGTCCACCTCCATGGCACTTCGGCGCATTTTTCACTACGAGAAATTCACCTTGCTCCGAAACACTCATAGTGCGTGACTTGGAGGCTGCCGTCTGACTGAGTGATTCGGTCCACTCAGTAGCCCCCTTTGAATGTGGCCTCTATGGCACTCCTAGTCCGATTCGACTCTTACCGTCCTCCTTTTGTGAATGCCTGGTACATTGTGTGGGGGGCAGAGCGTGAGAGAGACGCGCAGAGGGACTGCTCAGTTTTGTCGGCCACCGCGTCAGAGTCCGCTTCCGGTCGTTCTGCTACTGCGCCGAAGCGGGCTACGTCGACATATTTTCAATTAACTTGACTGTAGAGGCGGCACGCCAGGTATGACGTGGTTTTGGCTTTTTAGCGGAGTTCATCACAATGAAATGGAGTAGTCTTAACGGTCATGCGCTCGTTCAAACGCCGACGACTGTGTGTCGGCAATAGTGTGGACGCGTAGCAGAGGAGTCTGTTACAAGTCTGTGCAAACGCATTGACCAAGTCTCAAATGTAGACGTATGCTGGATTGCGCATGACTCAGAGTCACTCCTCTATGACCAGCCGATCTAAGATGTTTGTCCGTGGTATTAAAGTTGAACATCGCCAACGCTAATTCAAATAGAGACCCTTCCCAGTTGCGGTTTCGCTGAGTCGTCTGTTTTAAGGGCTTGTGGTTCTCAGAGTCATGGCCGTCTGAAGCAGTACTGGGACGTTGAGTTTCTGTCATTTTAGATTCATTTGGATAGCCTTTCTTGTCTCAGTGGATGGCATTTCGTTTCCAGTCACATATTAAGTTAAGTATATGGATGGGGAAGAGGGTCAGCCACCGATAGGCAGTAACATTTTCAAAACATTCCCTTAGTTTACTCACACTAATGTAGGAGGTCAGAGGAACGTTTTTCAGGAAAATTATTGCAACATGTCACTGTCCTGCCTACTGCCTGTTGCTTGAGTACCCTTCGGTCGTACGGATACTGCAAAAAGAGATGATTCTCATTTAGTTGCCAAATATGAAGATAGACAACTTCTGAAGGATCATTTCAAGTAATGTTTGACTTGGAGCCCTTATCGTTCTAAAGGCAGAGTCTCCTGTTTCCGATCCCAATGAGGATGTTTTACCAGCTGTCTGGATACATAAGGGCATACTTTTGGTCCTTTTTGACTACTTGGAAGATTTCATGATGTTTTAAATTGTCCTTATCCATTTTTTCCCAAGAGCGGATTTCTGACTACCAGGCAATATGCTTATAAGAGCGTCTACTTCGATTTGCAGAGGGACTTGAGATTCAAATTTTGCGCATCCCTAAAGGACTAATCTGGTTAAAAATGGAAAAAGATGCGTTCAGCTGTATTTTTTCGTTCTTAGGTTGGCTGTTGTCAGCCAAGAAAAAATCGTACATCACCCTTCAATGCAGGATTCTAACGTCTGAGGAGATGGGATGGAATTAGGAGTCTATTCGAGATGCTGCGCCCAGTACCAGAGCTGTGATCTTGAACTTCATCCATCTTTAAAGCCGCCAATAAAAACGTAGATATCAAGTTGACAGATGGAACAAGAAAGAGCGTAACTAAGCATATTATCCTAGTAGTTAACGGCGGAGGTAGATGAGGCAGAATATTCAAACCCGTAGAAAGTTCCAAAACAGCCTTGACGTTACCACAAACTTCTCACGCTCTTTTATTTAAAAATATTTTTGTCGGTCGTTTTCCTGGGAAGGGCGGTCGGCACTGCCGTCGACCCGACTCCGCGATTCGGAGCTGTCCGAAATTCCTGTCTCTCCTCCCAAGCAGTGACAGCACAGATGGCCTTTGCGAAGGTCTGCAATGATTCGTCGATGCGGTGTAACATGTTGCAGAACTCGTGGGCGTGAGCAATGTGCTGGTGCATTTTCGCCAGTAGGGTCTGTACAGAGCTCACACTCTCTTCAGTTTTCATCAAGAGGTGCCTCTGATCTGCTGACGATCGTCCCACCAGAAGCTCATTATTTACGAGGACATCCATGGCTTGTCGCAGACTCGTGGAACTGACCCTGAATTCCTCCTCGAACCTATCCAGCAAACTGCGCAGGTTTGTGAGCTGGGGAAGGGGCATTGGTGTTGCTTTGCTGCACACCCCCGGGCAGTCGTTCGATCCGCCACTGCCTGTACTCTCATTCTCGACCCAGTTGTTGTCGTTCCACTGCTGACCGGTAGGACGACAGGCATATGTTGGCACGAATACGCCATTTGACCTGGCATTAAGCAATCCGCAGGATGTTCTCGGTCGCACCGCGTTGTTGGGAGTGTCTACATAGTAACGTTCTCTTGGTGCTGGTCGTCGCCCCATAATCGTGCCGTTTGGTAAAGGAGGCAGATCACTATCCGGTGCATGGGATGTAGTTCTTGGGGGTGGCCGACAGGAGTCAACTGATAACTTCCTTATCTTAGGCAAAGATTCAGAGTACAGTTTCCTCCTGTATGTACAGGAGCGCTCATAGGTAGTGAGCTGAGTCTTAGTGGAGGTCACTGTTTTACCTGGTGGCACATCACGAAGAGAGTGAGGCGGGTGTTTAAGATGCCTATCAGTGTAGTTGAAGTGATTTACATCCCAAATTTGTAAGGTCTCCATGTTGGGAGCGTCACCAACGCCGATTCGATTGGAGAGCCTTCTCGGTCGCGGTTTGGTTGGGTCGCCCGTTTCATAGGCTTGTGGTGTATGCAGTCGTGAACGTCTGGCAACCTGACTAGGTTTATTGCCCATTTGAAGGACGACTGGAATGATGCTGGGCTTCTGTCATCTCAGATCCGGATGGACAGTGCTTGTCGCTGCAGCAGATGACATTTCACCTCTAGTCATTTATCGATTACTCGACTTTGAAATAGAGACCGCACGCGCACAGCAGCCGATCTGACTATGCAAGGTCGTTCTTGAAGGCTTGGCCGCACCAAATTTAGACAACATTTTTTCACGAGCAACTGACTGATCCCGCAAATTATAATTGTCTATCTTTGACAGCGTTAATTGCTCACTCACAAATTCTTTGACTCAATGGAAGCAGAGGAGATAACGGGTGGGCTCGGGGGAAATGACACACACACGCACACACACATACACACCAGTTCGGAGTAGACATAAAACCGTTGTATCCACTGGTGTGGAATTGTATCGTAGGACATCGATCTGGAGCACGTGACAGACTTAAAACGACTGATGACTATCTGCAGGTCATTTGCTACGCAAATAACTGACCGTTTTCTGTGGCGATACTTTGGTCGAACACAGAAGCTGATTTCAGGAAGAGGCGAGGTGGTTGGTCGACCCCGCTGATTGAGATTATGGAAATCCCATTTTGCCATTGGAGGAGTTTGAATTATGCCACTCATCTGGACGATACTGCAGGACATCTGCATTTGCATCTAACAGGCTCTGAACTCAGAGCCAAGGTTCCTGTGAACGACCGAAGCGCATGCCATGCTTCCCCTAAATACCCTCATCCTCCTTCAGCAGCGAACACCTGGGCGTCATGTTCTTTTTGTAAGGCAGAGAGGTCTGTCGGACATTGAAGCCGATTAGGGACTGCTTTGTTGTCCCGAAAATCTGCAGCCCGCAACTTTTCAGGTAGTTTAATCGTCGAGATTTCTCTGAGATGCCTGCACTAGTGCACTTGAGCCTTTCTCGGTATAGTAACCGGAGTCTAACTACGAAGATCGCCCTGTTTTTCACTTTACTGTATGAGGAAGTAACAGTGGGTTCATATTATACTGTAAAAGCTCCCCTTCCTTTTAGTGTGTAGATAGCCTATCATGCCCATCGTACATCATCCTGAGGAGTGGTAAATAGTTTGCCCTTTCTACTTTGACCTTTTTATAAACGGATTTAAGCAAGGGTTCTGAGTATGCAAGGCGTATTGCTAAAAACACAGTTGATAGGCAGCGCTAATTTACTGTATGTGGCGGAAAACAGGAAAGTGTAATCAGAATTCACAAACGAAGTTACCGTTAGAAAGGATTACACAGGTAAGGTTTCCAGACAAATGGACGTAGAACATAAACATGAAGTATTTTACACGCGCTAGAGTGCTAGTTTTTGGATGAGCGCTTTCCCAACCGTTTTCTAAAAGCACACCCATAAAACATGGTTACATACAGTGCCATTGTTCAAACTGATTTTCGAGGCCCGTATGAAACTGTCGCATTTTATTAAAAAGATGAATATAGAATTTACTTTGCGATCTCAACCGAATCCTGTAACTAGAAGCCATACTCTTGAATTTTATCCAGTGTACACCTGGAACTTGAAATTTTGCCTTCTTTTAGCCCGTGTTTCAAGGGTTACGCATCTACAATACCTACCTCATGACGGCGGTGAGCAGTACATTATCAATGGACACAAAATATGTTTTACTTCCTAAGGAATGTGGTAACAGAAGTCCTGCCCGAACACATAGTGTCCCCCAAAACGAAGGTAGAATGATGGCAATGCCAGTCCCTAATTAGCTGATGTCGAATAGCGAGGGCAGGAGCATCGGATTCCGTTCAGACAAGAAAATATATTAGAATTCGTATATGCATGTATATGATACAGAAAACTGGCACACTAGGTAAAATGCGTCCAGTTTATTTATACTAGTAGATTGCATTGCGCTGTTTGATAAATACGGATGTCGCAAAGCTGGCGAACGATTTGGTGGATGAGTTCATTCAGAGAATTAACTCCCTTCCGGCTGGTTGCATGAGTTTAATAACCTGCTCAGGTGCATAGTGGAAAACAGATGATCAATGAGTTTGTCTGATTCCATTGCCGCGGCAAAGCCACTACCCCGCGAGCCATCGACGAAACCGGACTCTTCGGCTTCGTTAATCAACACTCCGCACAGTTTGCACTCGCTCGCCCCAGTTGCCAAAGTGACTAGGTCGCCATGGTGACCGTTGACTGATTCACAGGAGGTAGCCGAAACAGTTGGGGAGGGCTGCATGCCGAGAGCGGAGATTCTGGCCATTTTCTTCTCCTTGGCTCGTTGATTCTGGAACCACACCTGGACGACCCTCCGCGTCAACCCAATAGCCTGGCCCACGCGATCACACTCGAAGATAGAGGGTGTTTTGTGGTGGGCATAGATGGTCTGCATGAATCGCGCCTGCGGACAGCTGATGCTGGTTCTGTTCCGTCGAGTCTGATTCGGAGCTGTTGATGTTTCACACTTGTTGGGCGTTTCGCCATCTGAAGGCAGTTTGATGGAATCGTTAATTTCACTGCCCAGAGCTGTCGACTGACCGAGGGTCAGGCCTGGGCTCCATTCCATAGGAGACTGTTTGGTCTTACGCTCATCCGACAAAGACTCAACTAGGGACTGTCGGTTTCCGACTTCAGATTCACAAGAGCGATGGTGACTGCGCTGACTCAGGTCTAGAGGCGAATCGGACTGGCTTCCGAGCCCTGTGGTCCCAGTGGCAGCCAAGCCCGGCTGCCACTGAAATGGCTGGCAGATAGGGGGTAGCTGCTGCTTTAGTAACTGTGAAAAAAAGCCAGGCCAGACAAGCTGTTGAAATAGACTGCCGGCGTTGCGTAGGACACTGGTTGGATCAACTGTAGGGTTTCCCATGTCGGCCCCATTGTCGGATTGCCTTGAAAAATTTGGCAAATCAACATTGGTGTTGGCCATTGAGTAGGGAAAAGCAACTTGGTGTAAGGCAGGTGGAATTGACTCAGTCGTGAATCTCCACAGGTCTCCGACGGCAGGAAGAGCAAAGGCTCCGGGATGATATCGTAGCTGTTGTTGTTGTTGCTGTTCCGATCTTTGCACTTCACAGGGGGAAAGTTTCGAGTCCCAAATTTGGGAATCACGGAGGGGTCCAGTTAGCAGGGCTGAAGGCGAAGTAGGGACAGGGTATAAATGGTCATTTGGAAGTGGACCATTTAGAACTGTAGAGGGCTTGAGGTTGGCCTGTCGACACAGCGAACCCGTAGGCAGTGGGTAGCCAAGCTTCCGCTCGCGCGAACGGGCATTCTGGAACCAAACCTTTCAAAAAGAGAAAGTAAATCTTCAATTTAATCGGCAACATCGACGTTGCAGATACTGATTATCTATGTAATCAGATAACAACTCATTTTATATGGCCTAAGAGAGTATATGTGCATCAGGGACTTGACAGTGTTGGTGCGCATTTTCTTGTGAGAATTAGTGAACTTTGAAAAATATCGAGGCTTGTGATGACTCATAGTTAACCTTCAAAACCTCTTGCTTTCTCATTGTCGATGTCAAGCATGACGAAATGGCTACAAGATGAGTCAGTATGAAAGCATAGGCCGTAGGATGAGTCGTCTGAGCAACGACTGTGGAACACGACCGCTGAACACGTGTGTGGACTCTGCTTTTATTTAATTTACCTGCCTACTCTCTTATTGTAAGTACGTTGTTTGCTGTAGCTGTGTCGTGAAGGCTCACGTTAATGGATGCGACGCGAATCATTTTTAACGAGCAATATGTGCTAATCTTAAAAGTCCGCAATAAGAACAAACATGAAAATTTCTTTCCACGTAGCCAAAACCTAATTTGTTAGCAAAAGGCTCATCAGTACGCTGAATCCGAACAAGCGGCCGCCGGAGGCTTCGATGCTGACGACTGAGCCTGTTGACTAGTCAATGACTGCTCAATGGGCCGGTTCCAGCAAACCTAGCTGAACTACTTATCTATTCAGTACCAAAACCTGCAACGTCTACGTCCTTGTTCGGCAAAGCTTTGAGTATTTCAAATCAAGTTTGGTAAGAATTTCGAGGTTAGAAGAGCTTATGGGTATAGAGTAGTTATTTTAATTGATTGTCCTGTCCGGACGAAAGGACCGACCAATCATGTTGCAGGATAATAGGAACAGTCCCTGGAAGCTTTTGAGTGGGAAAGCGTGGAAGTTGGTCCTCGAACCGCTACCATTTAGATGACAGGCAACCCAACTAATGACCGAAACTATTCAAAAGGCAGAGCATAATATTTCGACGAAAAGCGTGTGAGGCTCCCCAAAAATGGGTGAATACAGTCGCATACTTAGAAATTATTTCTAGCCCTAAACGTTCCCTTCATTTACAGTCTGAATTCTCGTAATAACTCATGTCCCCGATTATTACATGGGACGGAAGTATATGATCGGCGTACACCAGTGTGGGTTGTTCGCTAGTGAATCCTCGAAAAGGTTGAATTAATAGGGTTAATTAAGGATAGAGAGGACGTGGATCACCACTTGCCTGGACGACACGTTTTGGCAGTCCAACGCTTCCGGCAATAATGTCCATCTGACGTCGACTGGGATTGGGGTCATTGTGGAAGAAACGCGACAACAGAATCTGTTGACTCTGTGAAATGGCTGTACGGATCCGCTTTCCGCCCAGAAGTTGTTTCTTCAGGCACCCCTTCTCACTGGACGTAGTCGGTGACGGGGAAGCTCCTTTGCTGCTTCTCCCCTCTCCTTCCTCCGCCTCTTCTATCATCATCACATCCTCTTCCCTCCCGAATTCTTTTTTCATGTCTCGGACTCTGTAAGGCTGGCCATTTGGTGGTGTAGCGCAGGCACATTCGGTCTCAGTGAGTGCGGCTCTGCGAAGATCGGTCGCGCTTTCAGTGAGTTCTTTGACATGAGTCACTTCACAGGAGTATGTTGCAGCCACTGAGACAGGTGGTGTCCTTGTCTTCATGGGAGTTGCAGGCCACGTCTCCACTTTACCCGTTCTTTCGTACTTCTCTAAATCTAAATTAGTAGATGGCGGGATGGAGAAGTTGTACGGGCTGTCCTTGCTGCGCTGTCGTTCCTTAAAGAGGGTGTTTCTGAACCAATGTTTCACCACCTTCTCCTTCAGGCCTGTTTGGAGACATATCTCGGACACCTTCTCGTCTGAAGGGGAACTGTTCAAATTGAAATTGGCCCACAAGATAGATAGTTGACTGCTATCAAGACGGGTTCGTCCTTTTTTGCAGTGATTCTGAGTCTGCGCTGCGGGAGTTGATGACACGGACCCATCCCGACCAGTCGATAATGAGGGAGATCTTGGGAAGGTGGCAAAGCTGGCCGGACTGATAAGGGCACTTGTTTGCGACAAGTCCTTATGGAATTTTGTCAGACGAGCGCTGTTATCGATCGAATTTAACAGCGGAGAGTTGTGATCATCGGAAAGGTAGTGAAATACCTCTGAGGCCACTACTTCAATCTGTTCAACAGTGAGATTGAGTAAAGCTTGTGGTGTGTTCTCATTGTGATGGAGGATGGCGTGGAGACCAAGAGATGAAGAGAGAAGAAAGTCTCGTTTCGGGTTACACTGAGAGCAGGTGCCGCAGCTTGCAACTTGTTGCAAGTGAGAAAGGTAGTTGAGGTCTGCCGGGCAGTTTTTTGAATGCCGTCCCAACTGAAAGACATGTTCGGAACTTTTCTGGGCAAGGATCTCCAGGACGAGTGCGACGATCTCTAGAAGGAAATCGTGATTCACTGGTAGATGTTCAGGCAGTTGACTATGGATCCAATTCTCCAGGATCCAACAAAAGGCCTTATTTACATCAAGTTGACTCAGAAGTTCTGCAGGGCTCTTAGGAACTGGCGGATCGCTTATGCTCACTCCACGGGGTTGGGGTGGTTGTTCGGAGATTTGGCGTTTGTTCGGAACCACTTCACCCATCTTCAGAATTTCAGCAGAGAGTCGAGCCAGGTTTTCGTAAAAGTTTACACTGTTTTGGTTCAAATCATTGCTGCTCCCCTTTGATGTGTGATGACCCAATGTTAGCCGATCTAAGGGATTTTTTGGCCGATCACACAATTCGGTGACCACGTTCATTCTAAAGAAGCCGAAGAAGATAGGTTTACTTTTACTGATATGAAAAAAAACTTGCGCATCCAACAGAGGCAATTTATTAGGCAATGAATATTTCGGTTTGGACAGTTAGATTCTCCTCTGGTGGTCGTAAAGATGCTTGTGGCAGATGTATAAAACAATCGCCGAAGGAGATTTCAGGAAGGCAATGAAAAATCACCTTGGAGAGAAATAGTCAAAAGAGTAAACAACTGTCTCGCTCATCATCTGTCCGGCATCGCTTGAACTCCTGGTCCTCTCTCTTCCTGGCCGATGAAAACAATCGCCTACTGAGTTTGTGCACCGTTTCACTCATGTTTACTGTTT